CTTGGGATACTTTTCCTGTACAGTAAAAAGGAAAGCACAAGATAATTTGAACTTTGTTATTCCTCTATGTTCCATTCCTCTCCTGGGGTCAGTTTCCACATCCAGTAACAGTTACTTCCAGTAACAATCGATTGTGCTGCTTGAGGTATAATGAATGTTTTCTGGCTTCACTGAAATAACACTAGGACACTTTGGACCTGAGGTAACACATGTTTCAGAGACAATTTAATAAAGAGAAAATGTGAAATTTATATTGCTTATAAATACATTATACATGAGTACATTGAGCTCAAACTTTGTAAGTTCTCTGTGAATTAAGGGAATTTTAAATGGGAAGAAGGCTTTCAGAACATTCTTTTTGTGAGTGTACGTGCTGTTCATAATTTCCCAAGTGTACATGAGCTAACAGTAAGGGAAACAATAGCAATAATAGGAGAAAGAGAAGTTCTGAGTTTAAGTATAAGGTTTCAATACAGTATAGAAGACTACAAATAAGACAACATTGAAACAATAAAGCCAAGTCCAGTATGTAGATTTATGGGAATGATATACAGAAAGGAAGACTCCTACGTGGAACATGAATTATGAGGCCATTCTCATTCTAAATCATGTTTGCTAATCATGCAACTTTGTAGAAAGTAGAATGGAAGAATAATCCTGTTTCCAAAGCAAGTCAGATATAAGATCATGGATGTTGTGATGGCCACAGCCTGGCTTTCACTCCTGTGCATATAGTCTGTTTGGCCATCGACATTGGGTGTGGCATAATCCGTTTATGGAATATACTGCCCATAAAAACCAACTATGATGTAAACAATGTTTGACAAGGTGTTAAGTCCAAAGTTACAGTGGTTTAGCTTTTTTGGTGGGGAGGAGGTCCAGTCGTGAGGCCTGAACTCTGGGCCTGTTTGCAGCGCCACTTCTGGCTTTTTTCTTTTTGCTTATGTGGTGCTGAGGAATCGAACCCAGGGCCTCAGGCATGCAAGGCAAGCGCCCTACCACTGAGCCACCTTTCCAGCCCTAGCTTTTTTCTTTAAATAGTTAATTGCTTTTTAAAGTTTATCTGCTTATTTAATCTAGGAAATCAAAAGTTAATATTTGTGTTTTTTGGTGAAATTTGAAACTAGGCAATTAAAAGCACTCATTGTCCTCAAATTGAACATTTAAAATTATTAAAACTTTGTTCATATGTTTTAGTGGTCAGAAATTTGAGCCACGCATGAGAGCTCATAGTTGTAATGTTAGCTATTAGGTCTTGACTGATACAGAGAGAATTATGATTTGAAGCTAGCCCAGGGAAACATTCACAATATTGGATCTCAATCAATATCTGAAACCAATGCATTGTGCTTTATATTTTATCTACTCAGAAAAGGTAAAAAGAAGGATAGTGGACCATGCTGGCCAGGTCATAAACAGAAAACCCTGCCATAAAAATGGAAAAAGCAGGGTTGGGAAGGTGGCTCAGTGGTAGAGCGCTTGCCTTGCATGCATGAAGCCCTGTGTTCCATTCCTCAGCCTCACATAAGCAGAATAAAAAAATACTGGAAGTGGAACTTTGGCTCAAGTGGTAGAGTGCTATACTTGAGCTGAAGAGCTGAGGGACAGTGTCCAGGCCCAGAGTTGAGCCCCCCCCCCAAAAAATAAGGCTAAAGCAGAGCTGGGTGCAGGTGGCTCATGCCTGTAATCTTAGCTACTCAGGAGGTTGAGATCTGAAGATGACAGTTCAATGCCAGTCTAAGCAGAAAAGTCTGTGAGACTCTTATTTCCATTAAACCACCAGAAAATCAGAAGTGGCACTGTGGCTCAAACAGTAGATCACTTGCCATGAGCTGAAGAGTGCAGTGACAGTCTCCAGGCCCAGAGTTCAAGCCACATGACCAACAAAAACAAAAGTGACTAAAGCAAAAAGAGCAGGCGTGTGGCTCAATTTTAGAGGACCTACCTTAAGTGCATGAATCCCTTAATTTAACTGCTAGTATAGAAAGGAGGAAAGGATATGAAGAAAAGAATTAAGGGAGGAATTATGATATAATCAAATACTAGAATGGTAAGTATTAAATAAAGGCATTACAAGTATTTTATATGAAAATATACTGATTGTTTACTAAAAGGAAAATTATAAAATGTGGAATTCAGGCTGAAATACATGTACAATTTTTGTTTTTTTGTAAAATGATACTTATGTGCCCCTTTAGTTTAAAAGTAGAAATAAGTTTAAAACAATATGAGTGGTTAGAACTGAATCATTATTTCTTATCACTTTTTCTGCTATATTCACCACTTACAAAATCGAAACAATGTTGATCACTTTAATTATTAATTCATTAATGTAATCTTTCATCTTTAGTATATAGTCTATTGTGCACATCATTTAAATGTTTGAACTATTTTTGTTTGTTTGTTTTTATCCATCATGGATCTTAAACTCTGGCCTGGGCATTGTCCCTTAGCTCTTCACCTCAAGGCTAGCAGCTACCACTTGAGGAACAATGCCACTTCTGGCTTTTTCTGCTTATGTGGTACTGAGTAATTGAACCCAAAGGTTCAACATGCAAGGCAAGCACTCTAGCACTGAGCCAACATCCCAGCCCTGATTTCTATTTTTCCTTCAGACATGGGACTTGAACACAGGGCATGGGTATTGTCCCAGAACTCCTTTGCTCAATGCTAGTACTCTACCCTACCAGTTTAAACCACAGTGTCATTTCTTGTTTTTTAGTGGTTAATTGGAAATAGCAGTCTCATGGGAACTTTTCTGCCCAGGTTGTCTTTAAACCACCATATTCATTTCTCAGCCTCCTGAAAAGGTAGGATTACAGGCATGAGCCACCTGAACCCAACTGCTCATTTTTTTAAAAAATGTTATATGTTTAGTTCCCCCTCAAATACATACGAAGTGAGATGCAAATTAACTTTAGATACACCACCAATTGAGGATGTTGAGATTACAAGTGATTGCAATTTTTTTACATTTTTTTATATGTGGGGCTTGAACTCAGGGCCTGGGGGCAGTCCCTGTTCTTTTGTGCTCAAGGCTATCACTCTACCAGTTTGAGCCAGTGCCCCTTCTGGTTTCTTGCTAACCAGATTATGAGATAATGGTCTCACAGACTTTCTTACCCAGGTTGTCTTTAAAACTCAATTATCATATCTCAGCCTCCTGTGGTGCTACGATTACAGGCATGAACCATTGGCACCAGCTTTTTAAAAAAGGGACAACAATTCATAAGCCAGAAGCCTTGACTCAAGCCTATAATACTTCCTACTCCAGAGGCTGAGATCTGAAGGTGATGATTTGAATCTAGCGGTGCAAAAACGTCTCTGTGAATCTTTTATCTCCCATAAACTGTTCAAGAAGATCCCAAAGTGAAGCTTTGGCTCAAGTGGTAGAGTGTACTCTTGAATAAAAAAGAAGCTCAGGGATAGCATCTAGATCCTGCGATCAAACTCCATTTCTTACACACACACACACACACACACAAACCAAAAAGTAAATAGAAAATATGAAGAAATCAATGAAAAATTTGAATATTGTAAGGACTTTTGGGTTTAGAGGTATGACTCAGTTGGTAGGACAATAGATATTGATTGAAACTATCAGATACCAAGGACATAAAAAAAGAATTATCTGCTCTGTATTTTCCTATTCTCATATGTTCTCATTTGGGAACCCTCTTCTTTTAAAAAAAATTGTTTTAGCAGTGATATAGAGCAGGGTTACCTTTCTGTTCCCACAATCTCTTCCATACCCTCCCTCCCATCTTGACCCTCGACTTGCATGGTTCACTTTCATCAATGTCCAGTACAGCCAGAGGGCTCTGGTGCTGCATTTTTTGCACCCACTTCCCACTAATTCTGTGCCCTTCCCCCATCTTCCCTGTATATTAGGTGAAGAATACAGATTCATCAGAAAATGAAAAGACAAATTAAGAAAAGTTCCTTTGTTTCCTTATCATTGCAATTCAATTCCTTCTCTCTCTCTCTCTCTCTCTCTCTCTCTCTCTCTCTCTCTCTCTCTCTCTCTCTCGCTCTCTCTCTCTCTGTATATATATATATATATATATATATATATAGTATTATATAGAAAAGGTACTTGGGTATTACAACTTTGTGATTTTCTCCAAATGCTTCCTCTTCTGTTCTTACTGTAAATGATGCCTAGAGTCCTGTACAGTATGTCATATCCCATTGTGTTTTAAACCTTTCTTCCACATATCAGTGGAACAGTTACCATTTATCAATTTGATGTTCTCTTAACTTTCTTAACATGATTTATTCTAGTGTCTCCATTTCCCTGCAAATGACATTATTTTATCCTTTCTAATGGCTCTGTAAAATTTCATTGTATATAGATGGCATAATTATTGGTTCCATTCATTTATTGTGGGGCATCTGGGTTGTGTACATTTCTTGTCACTGTGAATTGAGCAGCAAGGAACATGGTTGTACAAATGTCCTTGCCATTTTCTAATTTCTCCACTTCCCCACCAACATTTGTTGTCTAATTCAAGATATTTGGATAAGATTGTATCTCAGGATTACTTTGATTTATAATTTCTTTATGGCCAGGGATGATGAACCTTTCCTGATATGTTTCTTTGCTATTCTTACCTCTTCTTATGAGAAGTCTCTCCTTAGCTCCTCTGCCCATTTGGTGATAGGTTTATTAGTTTGCGGAGGGGTTGTTCGTTGAGATCCCTGTATACATGGAAAATTAGCCCTTTGTCTGATGTATTGCAGGTAAATATCTTTTCCCAATTTGTTGGCTGTCTTTTTAATTTAGTGGCTATGTCTCTAGCCTGTGTAGGTTTTTTCCTTTGATGTAGTCTCATTTGTTGGGTCTCTTTCCTATCTGTTATGTCCCTGGGATTCTATTCAGGAAGTTCCTGCCAGTACCTATAAGTTCTTTTTTTTAATTATTATTTTAATGGTAAAAACTTTATTTACTTTTATAAATACATCTCAAGACAAAACTTTTCAAAAAATACTTTCCCCCCCAAAAAATTAAAAAAATAAAGGAAAGCTCGTAATAAGTAGGCAGACTGTCTTGAGGCCTCTTTTTGTTCTTAAGGAGAGCTCTCTGCAGTGTAGGACAGGACAATCACCACACACCCAACGCTGCCATGGGTTTGGCCTTGGGGAGAGAAAAGCCCAGGCTGGACTGAGTGCCCTCTCCTGGTCACGGCCATAGTGACACTTTCCAGTATCTAACACTATCTAGGATTATCTAGTATGGATCCTATTATAGTTGGGCTATGCTGTATACAATGTTAACTGTTGAGAACATATAACTCTCTCTGCATATAAGTGTGAATTGTAAAGTATAAGTTGGACTCCAAGTTCAACAAACACAAGTTATTCTCTATGTGCTCCCAGTGTCCCTATGAGGCTTCTCAACAAGCTGTTCATCTTTCCTGTTTAGATAACATTAAACACCATTGTTTTGTTAGGTCAAGAATAAAGATGAGGGGTGAAAATAAACCTTTGCCTTTAAATAGTTTATTATCCTCAACACCAAACTAGGAGTTAAATTAGAAAACATTTTGTTGTTGTTGTCTCCATTACTGGTGAAGTGTGGGGTATACTCCCAGCCTCCTCCATGCCCTGCTGGACCACAGCCAAGGCCACCCTGGGCCTTCCACTGGGCTCCATCCTTGAAAAGCTGCCTAATGGAGGGAAGTCAGAAAGATCTGCATTTACAAGTTTCCCAAAATGTGCTAGAACTTTTTTGGTCAGTTTTATAGAACTTTCTTGGTCAGTTGTATTCCACCTCAATGTCTCCAGTATTTTCCAAGCAGATCAAGTCACTTGCAGATAATGAAGAAGCTTTGTGGCCCAGGGGTCCATGCCTTGGAATCAGATAGTTCCAGGAGGGCCAGAGGTCTCATGTATGGTAGAGATGTCTTGTCCAGGTGACTGGAGTTTCTGACTTTCCTGTTCTCCATGAGGCCTGAGCAGGGAGGAGGGCAAAGAGGTGTCTTCTACAATAGCCACTGAAGTGAGGGAGGCAGAAGGTCAGCTGTTCCAATGGGCAGATGTGGAGAGGATTCTAGAAGGGTATCAAATCCGCTGATTTGGGCAGGAGTATCAGTTATTTTTACAGAAAGCAACAGAGAAATTAATTTTCTTTTCTGACTACTGAAAAGTGGAAAGATGCTCGAGTTTACCATTTAAAGGAACAATAGACATTTCAAAAATCTCTGTCTAAACTTTGGTTTTCTTAAAAAAACACACACACACACAAAACCAAGTCATCACAAAAAGAAATATAAGTTGAGGCTGTAGGCAGGTGCTGTTCTGTCCGTGGCAGTCTTTTGTGCAAAGTAAGGGGTATTGGAGCTCCAATTTAACTGATGCAGTGGGGTTTACTGCCTCTGCATGCCGAGGCAGTGCACGTCATCAGTGCCCTTGCTCTTGAAGCCTGAGAGGGGCTGACCATACTTGTCCACGCACCAGCAGAAGTCCCACTTTCTGCCTTTGGAGTGGCTACACTGCTTCTTCTTATAATATCCTTTCTTGTCCCAGTTGGGGATGTGCACACCCCTGGGACTCAGCACATTGAGGAACTTCAGGTGATTCAGGGTGTCTTCCATCTCTCTAAGGCAGGGACCATATTCTGTCTCCCGTTTGGGCTCCGAGGAGAAGGTCTGGGTGTCCATGCTCTGGGACGCATAGTCAACTTTATAGCGCTGGTTGTCCTTCCCGTGACCTTTCTTGATGGTGTCCAGCTTTGCGTGAATGGAATGGAACTTGGAGACAGGCACCTTATGTGTGCTGAGCAGGGCATGGCTCTATACGCTCCCTGTGCCTCGGTCCTTCTCCGACTCACTAGCATTTCCTGAGGCGGAGGGCACCAGCAGCAGGTAAGCCTCAGCTGGCCAGGATGCTGGCGTTGGCGGAGAACCTGCAGCCGTCCAGTAGCGCCTGCAGTGGGCATGGCTTGCCCACTGGCAGTTGGCAGCTGAGCCCCTAGCTGTAGCTGCAGCGTTCAGTGTAGACACCGCACGGCTGGCCCTTGCGCAGAGCACATGTCAGGCAGCAGCCATAGCCTGGCTCGGGCACCAGATCGGCACACCCCTGCACTGAGCCAGCGCGTTGGCATCACAGGGCTCTCAGCATAAGATGGGACCCTCGTCACCGGCGGCCTGAGGAACAGAGCCAGGGCGGTGAGCAGAGCTGCCCAGAGTGCGGGGCGCCGCTCGATGCATGGCGCCTGTCGCAGGGGCCAACTGGAGTAAGCGCTTACTGGGTCTAGGTAGGGGGTGTGAGATTGCAGGATCTGGAGCGCAACTACTGGTGCTCGGCGTGCAGCTGCCCAGCTCGCACCTCAATACCTATAAGTTCTAATATCACCCTTTTTCTGTGTTATAGTAGTTTGGCTGATTTTAATATAGTTAATCTATTTTGAGTTGATGTTAGTGCAAGCAGAGATCCACTTCTAGTTTTCTGCCTGTGGATGTCCAGTTTTCCCAACACCAATAGTTGAAGAGGCTATGATGTGTGTGTGTGTGTGTGTGTGTGTGTGTGTGTGTGTGTCTGTGTGTCTGTGTGTCTGTGTGTCTGTGTGTCTGTGTGTGTTGGTCGTGGGGCTAGAACTCTGGGCCTCGGAGCTACCCCTTTGCATTTCATCTCCAGGCTAGTACTTGAACCACAGTTCCACTTCCCATTTTCTTGAGGTTTATTGGAGCTAAGAGTCTCATGGACTTCCCTGGCCCTGCTGGCTTTCAAAAACCATCCTCAGATCTCAGCCTTCTGAGTAGCTAGATTAAAGGCATGAGCCACAGGCACCCAGCAAGGCTATGTTTTTTCCACATTACATCTTTCGCTCTTTTGTCGAATATCAGATGATTGTAAGTATGTAGTTTTATTTCTGGGTCTTTTCATCTTTTCTAATACGTTTTTTATTGTAAAAATAATGTACAAAGAATTACAGTTATATAAAGTAGGTAATGAGTTCATTTCCTCTCAAGCATTGTTACTTCCTCCTTTGTTTTTCCCCTACCATCCCTACCCTTCCACCTCCACAACTACTCCTTTCCATCCCACCTCCCCACTCCTTGCATAAATTGTAAAGTACGTTTTTGAACATAGTGTCTTGATCTCATTGTTAAAATGGGTCAAACTGTATCCCTAGTTAAGTATTTGTTTTTTCCCTTCTCCCCCCAAAGCTAGAGAAATGTATATACAAGATACAGGGCATCGACATCAAAAAAACAAAAAAAAAACACACATTACATAGGTTACAAGATTGGGTCGAAGAATGATGATTGTTGACTTAATTTGATAAGTATTCTATAGCTTTTAATGGTAAGCCTTATTAACTCAAAGGGGGAGCAAAAACATTCAGAATAGTGGAATGTGGCTACCACTCATTTGATGTGTGTGGATAGATTATGATTAATCAAAATATATCTATTAATTCCCAGTGGTAGACTGCTATGCTAACTGGAAGGAGACTTTGGTAATGCCAGGCATTTGAATACTGGTAATGAAGCAGAATATGAGGGGAGAGCATTTGCTAAGGATGTAACTTCCTAGGCTCATACTAAATACATTGAAGTAGAATGCTAAGTGCTGATCGACTGAGCACCAAATTTTATTTGTTGACTTCTTTGTTTTGTGAAGTCCAGGGATTTGAATCTAGAGCCTGGGTGTTGTCCCTTAATTTTTTATCAAGGCTAGTGCTGTACCAGTTGAACACAGCTTCATGTCCATAATTTTGGTGTTTAATTGGAGGTCAGTCTTTCCAAATTTCCTCTTTGGGCTTGCTTCAAACCTGATCCTCAGGTATCAGCCTCCCGAGTAGCTAACATTCCAGTTGTGAGCCACCAGAGCCTGGTTAGAATCACATTTTAAAAGTATATAGGTGAATCAGATGTGTCTAGGTACTATTTGAGCACTTTGGTTCCAGTGGGTCATGTCAGATTTAGAATAACATCAGAATTTTTCTCCTTGTAACTCGCAGCATCCAATATCTATATAATTTATTCTGATCTTCATGTCTGATCTTTTTTTCTTCGTTGTACCTTTTTTTTCTTACTTCACAAACAAGCACGTCAGTGATGTTTGCCTTTTCTGAAGCAAGTTACGTCCTTTCCCATCACTGAGGGATGTAATTGCTGCTCTTACTGCCTGGAGTACCTGCGTCTAGTTAATTGCATGGATGATGGCTCTCAGGTTAACTATCTCGTCCTCAGGGATATCTCCTCACATACCCGCTGTGAAATTGTTGCCACAAAACTACCAATGTCATGTCTCTGATTTACAAAAATTATCATTATGATTTCTGGTTTTCTTTTCAGCATGAAATTGATGAGGAGAGAGCCACATTCACTTGTTTCTCCAACACCTATAATAGTGCCTAGTCCTTAGTGCTAGGAGCCTTACATGGGGATCAGCCTTCACCAGCTCAATTTATCCTAGACTCTGGTCAGGACAGCTCTTGAAGCTGATATCTGGTGGCTAGCAGTCATTCCCTCTCATTCTTTGTGCCTTTCTGTGTTGCTGAGTCCACTTCAGAGAAAGATCAGTGTCTGACACCTATTTGCTGTTATGGAAAGATGGCTATGACACCATACAAGTTATGGGCATTGTTTTGTGAAGCTGTGTGCGGAGACGCATCCCCACACAAGTTCTCAAAGGCAAGTGTCTCCCATGCCCAGGAGTGCATTCCACAACTCAGCATCCAAACTATCACCTACTCCCTAATGCACTCAGTGTATATTCCCATTTCCATTAAAAAAAGAAAAATCAAGATATGCCTTTCATGATTTGTCATTGAATTACTGAAACAACTGAAACAAAGTATATAATTTGGGGGCTGGAAAGGTGGCTCAGTGGTAGAGTGCTTGCCTTGCATGCATGAGGCTCTGGGTTCGATTCCTCAGAACCACATAAGCAAAAAGAAAATAAGCTAGAAGTGGCCCTGTAGCTCAAGTGGTAGAGCACTAGCCTTGAGCTGAAGAGTTGAGGGATAGCACTCAGGCCCAGAGTTCAAGCTGACAACTGGGCACCCCCCAAAAGTATATAATTTTATGTATTTGTAAGTCTTTGTCCATCTCTCTTGAGCCCTTGATATATTTCTATGTGTTTGCAGCTTGGGAAGGGAAATAAGGTTTAATTCAGGATAGTCAAAAACATTTTGGGAGGGAATGCCAACTTTCCATCTGATGTTCTACAGATGTCCATCTTGGCACAGGAACTGAGTAGACTGTCATAGCATAAGAGGCTTGTCCTGACTTCTACTGACTTTCCTCTGGGATCACAGAGTGTGA